CATATTTTTGACTTTTCACAAAAGAACTAAGAACTGTTACTATAATTTTCCATAATGGAAATAGGAAGTATTTATTTTTCCTCCCCAAATAAACAATTTTTTTAAAAGCATTAATTCAGGAAAAATAACTATGGAGAAAAAAGTGTTGTAGGTTTGCTTGGAGGTTATAATGAAATGAGCCAGAGCTAGGCATTGAGGTGTGCAGCAGAATGCACTAAGCAAAATTCAATTCATTGAGTCTCCTGAGTGACTCTGTTATTTCAGAGGAATCTGTATTCTGCAGATCTGAAAAAAGTACGTAACAACAAATTAATAAAATATTTTGAAATAAAAAAAATAAGAAATGGGTTTTATTTTCCATACAATATTTCGAATTAACCACGCACATTTTAAAATAATTTTAAAAACAATGATAGAAAGTTTGACCTTGTTTCCAATACTAGTATAAACAAATAATTGGTCGCCTATCATTGACGATGTACCTCATTTTAAAACTATTTTAAAACTAGAGGTACTGTGAGCAGTGAGCTCACTAAATGATACCCCCGCCTCCCATATGAATATAAATGGAGTGTCCATGTTTTGTTGTGGGAAACCAAAAATATGTGTCAGATCAAAAAGTAAAAAAGGAGGTACAAAATGGCAATGTGTAATAAAGATTCCTTGAAAGTTTCTTCAAATTTCACTCAGTGGTATAAGAGGAGTTGCGGATAAGAGATGGGTACCAAAACATAACAGACAGACGGACATGGCGTCCACTAATCCAGTTAAAGAACATACCCGGAACATGTAAATAGTTGTAAATTTGAAAATAAAATCGGTATTCAAAGGGAGCCGGATAACAAATTATCAGAAAAATTGTTTTCACTGTATCACTGGAAATATTCAGTTTTAATTTAAGTTCTTTGATAAAAGATGCATCTTAACCACGAAGCAGACATGATGAGATGGAGGATAGAAAGCCTGAAATTTTCGGATCTTATATTTTCCTTTTAGGCTCAAAGGTTTTAACAGCTATAACCATTCGTCTTTTTCATACCCGAGATAACATATAAAAAAAAAACGTCTTTTAATGAGTATATGCGAGTTTTTCATTGTTCTGTTTTGTATTCAAATTAATTTGTCAAGTGTTTGGAGGATATTTAATTGAGATTGGAACAGAAGAAGAAAATGCCTGGATAGCTGAAACATTTTTTCTTAACAATAGTCAAAGTAAGCTTTTATATTACCATATTTTTTATATGAAAATATTGAGATAACGAGCAATATTCTAGCTCAAGGGTCAATTAAACAGTACAAATCAAGAGCAGAGCAAACACGGACCTCTTAAACATCGGACGTTGGATCAGGTACCATGGAGAATTGAGCATCCCCTGATAACAGATTTCATCCAGCGTGTGTTTCTTGTCATGATCGGGAAATAATGAAAAAAATCTTTCAACAGTCCTGTGTTTACCCTATCAAAATGAATAATACTATAGTTAACTGTAGTTTACTATAGTGAACATTTGACACTATGAAAACTTTGACACTTTGATTTACTATAGTGAACACTTTGATTTACCATGTTAATCACCGTGGAAATTTACCATGGAAAAACTTTGATTTTTCTATGATGATTTTAATTTACTATGGTGAACACTTTGACACTATAGTGAACACTTTCAAAACTTTGATTTACTGTAGTGATAACTTTGACAGTTTGATTTGCTAAAGTTAACTATAGTTTATTACAGTAAACTATTATAGACAGTTAGTTATAGTATTTTTTAATAGGGTACATAAATCTCTAACAATTTGTATGAGAACTTCAGTAAGCATTTCCTTTAATGATATTGTATTTGAATGTAAATATTATTGCTTAATTGAAGAAGGTCAGTCAGTTTATCATTGCGATAATCAATGTCATTTTGCAAAATGCTCAGCGTTATGAGAACCCGAAAAGGGGGGAAATCATCACAAGTTTGATTCAAACCAAAAATAACGTACATATAATCTCAAAAATGAAGACAGAGATTAATTCTGTTACCATATTATATTCCAAGAGTTTTATGAAATAATGATTTTTTTTAATTTATGAATGTTTTACAGACTATTTTCTAAAAGATAATTTCTGGAACCAATGATGACCTAATGAAAGAAAGAGCTAGAAAACAAATAAAGCAAAAAACGAAACTCTTGTTTAACACAATTTTTTTTACATTAATTACTTCAAAATATTACGAAATATATTTAATGAGACTTTTATAAAATGATTCTAAAAAATCAAAAAAATATATAAATAAAAAACAAATTTAAATAATAAAAAAATCCTTATCTGGGTGTCTCCAGATTTCATTAAAAGAATTGTTTTATTATTATAAATTCATAAATTTTAGGTCTTCCCCTATATAAACGTTTTACTTCAATAGACGAATTTTCGGCGTATGCATAAAAGCAAACATAACATTCTCAAGGTGTTTTTAAGAGTCAAAGCGGTTCTAACAACCTAACGTCTTTGTCTTTAAAGAATGAAGACTAAAATATCCATGACTAATTATAAAGGTTAGCCAAAACTTGTATTAAACAGGGGCATCTTACTTCTCCCAGGCACCTGATCCCACTTTTATTTCTTTCTGCAGACAAAGCATGGATTGGCGGATCCGACATTGCAGAAGAAAATGTTTTTAAATTGGAATAATTTGACCAGCCCTTTACCTATATTTATTATATAGGTCTCCATATACGGCCAGATGGCGCCACTTCACAGAACTGTGTTACGATTAATGGCCATGGAGTCTGGGATGACGATTATTGCCTTAGTGCAGTGCATCCCTATGTTTGTGAAATGGACAATGTTTGACTTTCTACAAGTCTATGACAAATTCTTAAAAAGAATATTGAAAGATTTTTAAATGCTTACTCTTTTTAAATAACAAAAGTCTGATTTTATTCATATCTTCTAGGTTAAAAAAGTGTTTGTTTCATTATACATGTAAATTTGACGTTTTGTTTGGTACCATTACTAATTTGTGCTTCGACTAAATCATTTGATATTATATACATACCTTCTGGGTTAAACAGGCGCTTGTTTCATGATACATTTGACACTTATTATGGCACAACTATTTTATGTCTCAGTGGATTTCACATATATATTATATATTTATATCGCTATTGTATCTACAACAATAAAATGAATAATCTGCAGCTTTGTTAGGATTTGCTCATCAGAATTCAAAAAATTATTTGCATACTTACATCATATTTATGTATACCATGAAACTTTGATTCAATAGTTAAAAACTTTTTTTCACTCAACGCAAGACTCAAGAACAGTTACTATAACTCTTCGTAGTGAAAATAGGAAGAAGTAATTGTCCCCCCTATAGAGTTTTTCTTTTATAAATGGTGAAAAGAACAACAGTCAGTCACATCTGTTACTTTCTGTATTAATTTATTTTTTTTTTGGTATATACATTTGTGTGTATATACATTTTAATAATGATATAATAATAATATAATGTTTTCCTTCATTGTACATGCATTAATTATCTAGAAATCTATATTAGTGTTTCTGTGAAAACCATTAACAGTTGATTAATACAATAATGCATTGTGTACCACATGAAGAAAATGGTGAAACCCAACTCAACATGCTCAACCTAAACACTCTCGATATAGAGGCGACAATTTCGTGATCAACAATCACATTTTTTGTCAGTTGCAAAGAACAATAGATACAAATCCTGTAACAATTTAGAGCAACATCGAATACTGTTTGTTATCTCCATATTTTTCATACATTATACTTTTCACTATTTGTCTACTTAGTACGTATGTCAAAGTTATCTTAAAATACAAGACACTACCTAAAATCAAAAGTTTCAATGCCTATTGACCAAGAAAGGCAAACAACTAAATAAAGATCTAGAGTAAAACAAATGCGATCGGCGGCTGCTGCTTTTGCATCGCAACTTCCCTTAATTATTCAGTAAATTCGAACAACATCGGCATATGGTATTTGGCTCTCCCAACTGATTCCATGCGCATGAGCATAATTAGTAATATCAATTTTAGCCCAACGCAAGCTAATAAAATTATGTTGATGCAACAAGGATATTGAAACTCCAGTGTAATGTTTGTTTTACCCTAAGGTTTACGTTCCTTTTAAAAGTCTTTTTTATATTTCTACGTATCCTTGGGTCATATTTTGAGTCTGAGTTTTTGGATACACAATTATCAAGGAAAAGTCTCGAAATATGTCAAGTTAAGAATTTTCACATATTTATGCAAATTCTTCTTTTTTTGCACATTTTGAACAGAAAACACGGAGCACTAGCTTGCTTATCAACCAAATTTATATAAACTTAATATGTGTTTCGTACACTAGTATCAGATTCTTCTTGTGTATATGAATCTTAGATAGACAAGGTTGTGCTTTATGTTTTCTGAAGTAAAAAGTATCTCAAATTTGACGAAATTCCATTAGAATGGAGAAAATTAAATAGCATGTCCTACTTTGGCACCCTCTCGAGACCACCCTGTACTCGTTATATTAAAATTAATGCTGGTTTTAAAACAAAACACACTTTAAACTGTGTTTAGATTTTAACATAAAATATGGGGCCAAATTCGGTTGATATCACACCTTGTTCTTTCTTATACATGTAGTTTACAAATAACAAAACGGTATTCAATCAGGATATTACATTGAATTACAAGAAATAAACAAAATTTTGGGAAAAAATCATTCATGTGGATCAAGTTGAAAACAAACATTTTGAATTATAATGTTCCATGTTCTAAGACTTTAGGTATATCATTCATCAAAGAGTTACCAAATAGAAATGCTCTATTTTTATTAATATGTCCTTTTCATTCAAGTTTTTCTTCTACATTTATTTCAAACAAATGTCTTACAATTAATCATAAAATAAATGTACATAATTAATAAGATAAAATATTCTCATATTGTTAACATAGACTTCGTTGGTTGAAATGATAAATTGTTATTTTTCCTGCCATTGCTAACCACAGGACACTCCGGCATCTTCACTATGGCCACAGTTGTGATGTCTGAGTACATTATGTGGACAATAAAAGAGATCTGATTCATCTCCAGTACATCCTAAATCGTCATATATAATCGGTCCTGATCCTTGTCCAAAATGGTGATAACCATATGCTACTGCATTAGTCCTGTGTTTGTGAATGATACATATATCATATTGGTTTCTTTATGACCTCATAAACAAAGATCTGATTATATTTTACGAATACGATGATATGAAAAAACAATGTCATGAAAATAGATATACCGCAAAATCAGAGAATGTGCTTAATTAAAAGAAATAACTTTTTTTTTTTTTGAAATGAGATTATATATATACACATTTGCAATTCTATTTTGTAAAGAAAACCGTGTATTTTTCAGGTTTAGGCATTGTTAAAGTATATATCACATATTTTCGAGCATGGTTTATGTAACATTTTTTAGCATCGGGATCGATAGATCCGGGGCGTTTATTGTTTTTGTCCTGTCTGTTTGTCTGTTTATCTGTCTGTTGTCAACTTTAACCTTCGCCATATATTTTAAACCATGAGAGATAGACACTTCATATTTGGTATGCATACTCCAATAATTAGACCCAAAGGTCAATGACCTTTTAACCTTGACTGTGACCTATATGCTAAATGTTGCTTTTTCAAACTTTAGCCATAGCTGTTGAACCATGAAAGATAAAGACGAGACTTCATATTTGGTATGCTCCACTAATGAAGCTCTTTCAAATGAGAGCAAGGTCTCATTGACTGTGACCTACATGTATATGCTAAAAATAGTTTTTTTTCTCGAATTTCACTATAACTTTTGAACCATGAGAGATAGAGAGATAGAGATTTGGTATGCAAACTCCACTTATTAAGTTCTTTCAAATTACACAAAGATCAATGATCTTTTGACCTTGACTGCTACCTACCGTATAAGTTATTTAAGCGCGGATTTAATTTTGGCATTTTAAGCGAGAGTGCTGAGATCCTGAAATTGAATATCGCTAAAAATTAATTGCGTTTAATTTATAATAGCTTTTTTTAGTGAGCATTTTAAAATCGCTTAAACGGATTCTCGCTAAAAATAAAATACCAATTCTCAAGGAGAAATCGCTAATTTTGCGTCTTATACGGTGTATGCTAAAAAAAAATTAGCTCTTTCAAACCTTGTTGCCACCGGGCGCATAGTGTTTCACCTACACATCTTGTCATATATATTTGAGTGCAGTTTTGACTTATTTGCATACGAATTTTGTGATACATTTACTATTCACTCACGGGGTAAACATTATTTGTAAGATAAATAAATTTAAGCACAAGTCCAAAATATACGGAAGCCCGTTGAGGCCAGTTCAGAGAAAGAAATATTTTTATTGCGTTTAATCGGAATGATTATCGCGTTTAAATGCAAAACATTGCGTTAAATTGCAATACTTTTTGCGTTTATAAGCAAAATACTTTGCTTTCAATCACAATGTTTTGCGTTAAGATACAAAGAGTATTGCGTTTACATGTAAGTGCAAAAAATTATTGCGTTTAAATGCAAAAAAATATTGCGATTTAACGCAATATTATAGCAATTATTTAACGCAATAATCTTGTGATTAACTGCAATAATTTTTTGCAATTAAACGCAATAATATTGCACTTAAACGCAATAATATTGCGATTAAACGCAAAATTATGCAATTAAACGCAAAAAGCATTGCGATTAAACGCAATAAAAACTATTTCTTTCTCTGAACTGGTCTCAACGGGCTTTCGTACATTGTAAAAAAAAATGTAAAATTTTCTATGTGACAATCACAGCTTTCGATTACAGTTATGTATCTTTTTTTGTAAATTATATAAATTAAAATTGAATGATTTAATTCTTGACAAACACATTTCAGACTTCTTGAAATGTATAACTAAATAATTACCAACTCTTTCCAAGCATACGACATACGACTTTGGCATCATTATTGTCGAATGCATCATCACAAACTGTTCCCCATGTTCCAAGAAATCGAACTTCTACCCTACCGGAATTCGAACCACCACCACCTAATCTTATTCCTAAATATTTACAATATAAAACATGTTATCAATTATCAAATCAAACTTGTACACCCAGACATTTAATTGTCAACATATAAAAGGGTGTAGTGACTTTGAAACCCTTACATGTAATGTCATAAATGGTAAGTACATGTATCCATCACAATGATTTAAAAACTACTTCACTCTAAAAAGAATATTAAAAAACCAAAACCATACTCATATAAAGTAAAACACATTGTATTAAAATTTATTTAATATATGTATGATAGCATTGTTTAATCTAGTCGAGATATGGAAGAACATCAAAATCAAGTTCAACATCAAAGTTACTTAATTTTGTATTTAAACGAGCTTTTATTTTAAACATGTTGAATAATACAATAACACATCAAATTCAGGACGGTTTAGAATACTAGTAGTTAGAATAAGTTACATGTAGCAGTGTCTTGGGACAATTCGTAACCACTTGCACATCCGTAACCGACAATCATCATTTTAACGATAGAATATTCTGTCCAGGTTCAGAAGAATATTTGTAACAAATGGACGAATTAAGATCTAACGTTACATGAGACAAACTTGTCAGGCAAAGCAAAATTTCATAGAGAGAGAGAAAGAGAGAGATATATATATATTTACCGTCAGGTTTAATAAAATTATAGAGAGTTGTGTTCAGTTTTTGTAGCTCGGACAGAAGGTGTTGTCTTTTTGAATCCAGAGAGTTCGTGGTCTTTTGAAGAGCTGATAACAACGTCTGATTGACGCTGTCAATAGCTACGGCAACCTTGTGTACTGCCGTTTGTAAAGATGTTTGTTCTTGGAAAAGGGTTGTGTTTAAGATATCATGTTCAATTTTAATGTTGTTTTGTTTTCTGTTTAAAGAACTGAGTTCCAGGAAAATGGTATTGTTTATTTTTTCATCCTTGATTTCATTGTTGTTCAACGAAAGTGTGAGGTAACGAATAGAGTGTTCCATGTTTGACAGTCTTTGCGTGATAACTTGTAATCCTGTTAGATTGTTCAGATGATCAAATTCTTGCTTAATGGCATTAAAGGAAGACGTCAAATCGAGGAATTTTGACATCAACTGATTCACAGTGCTAGAAGTAACATTGCTGTCAAGCTTTTGGTTATTTTTCAGAGTTTGGATTTCCTGCTCCTGAACTTTCACTTTGGCTTTTAAATCCAAAACTTCTTGTACTAAAAGTGAGAGCGTGGCATCGCGTCCAAGCGGTCCGATTGTCGTCGTGGACTGCACGTTTGTATTATCTCCGTGAAAGAGTAGGCCATTGTTTTCTGGAAAAAGAAAAAATGAAAGAAACAAACACACCCCCTTTCGGTCCATGTTAAAGTCGTGTTATCTTGTCAGGGTGTGATATTTTAAACTGATAATGCTTTGATAAAATATTTGTTATTAATATGGTTATATTTTTTTTTTAAAAAAAGGCCGGGGGGAAAATACAGCAGGTATAATTTTTGTCAGACGACATTTAGAATGTCAATTTTAAAGAATACAGTTCCGCAGCAAGGAGGGTTGATAAAAACCTTGTTGTTTGCCTGTTGGTTTGATTGAAGCATTCAGTCTTTAGGTTTCATGGAATAAAATTTTTAACATAATTTTCAGCGTATACCGGCAGGTCTATCCTCCTTTCCCGAAACATCGCTGCGGAACTGTATTCTTTAAAATTGACATTCTAAATGTCGTCTGACAAAAATTATACCTGCTGTATTTTTCCCCCGGCCTTTTTTTAAAAAAAAAATATAACCATATTAATAACATACATGTACTCAGTAAATCAGAAGCTATTGGTATTACATGTAGTTTTAATATTATATATTGGATTTTGTGTACAGTTTTTAGATGGCACATTGTGCAATTTAACAGGCTTATTGTCAGTTGAATGTCTTTTTTTTTTATTTATCTCAAATCAGAAGGTTGCCAGGCAAGCTAAATTATATAAAGAGTGTATATTTCATCTTGACACACAGTATTTAATCTGTGCCGGTATCAGTTGGTTCATATAAATAAGTTTAAGTTTGGCCAAAGTTCAACATCATTAATAAGTATTGTCAGGTAAACATGGTAAAGATAAAAAGATTTTAGGTTGAGAACTTGAGGTACGTATAAATGTGTTGCAATAGTTCGATATGTATACTCTGTTGATGTTTTGTCAATTCATACATTTTTAGGTCGGGATGCAATTACTCGTATTTGTTTAGCCATACACTTCTTAATTAAACTCTGGATTTTTCCTCTAGAAAATATGGGTATTTTGATAAGACTTTTCTCAAAACAATCTTTTTTTTTATTTTTGGCCCAGCGATATGTAAGACTTAATTAATTCTTTTTCTTACTGCTTGTCACTCATACTAGAACATGTAGAAATAATAAATACATGTAACTACTTATTCGGGGTTTTATTTTCGAATGAAGGACAAGATTCTCTCTAAAAAGGAAAAAAATCTAGAAAAGGCAAATTTTGGGCGAGTATCTTAAATAAAACATTATCTTCACAAGAAACATATAGCTGGGTCAGAAAGTATGAATCATATCTAAAATCAAACCAAGACTTGAGAGGCCACATAGAGACATTAGACATTAAGATCATGTTAGAATGGAAATGTATGGCATGTCTATGGGTATGGTTAGCTGCAGAACTTTAGCTCTCCGAAAAAATATATATTGACAGACTGGAGAGCTACAGTGCCACCCATTTAAAAAAAACTGTATATTTATTGCGCAAAAAAGTTGCGCTGTTTCTAGATTTATTTCTCCGTGTTTTTAAAACTGCTATCTCAAAATGTTACCAACTGTGTGTTTCTAACATATTCTGTCACTGTTACCATAACAAAACATTCATTATAATTGTTTATAATAGCACTCTCGGCCCTGAAAATATCGCCTATGTATACTGCCATTTTGGTTTGCAAGATAATTCTGTCCAACGTGTTTCGTATGGATGTAAACTACGAGAGTACTTGATAGAGAAGTAAGGACTTTTTTGAAATCCAGCTTTTTTGCAACTGAGGTGAGAATTTGGAAAAAATTAATCCAGATCGAACCGAGCACACTTTTTTGTGCACAATAAAATATACAGTTTTTCAATGGGTGGCACTTTAGCTTTCCGGTCTGTCAAATAAAAATTTCGGAGAGCTACAGTTCTGCGGCTAGGTTTTTTTTTTCTAAACATCTTCTTTTGAAAATTAAAGAATCCAACTTGAGGCAGTATAGATTCAAGTTTAATATCATGATGTAAACTCAGCGAATACCAGCGGCTTCACTTGATCTAATCAGAACGTTTTATCCTAAATATAATGATGTCATATGAACCATTTTCGAGACCCCGTTTGATTCATTATTCTAATCACACTCGATCCAGATCCCTTCCCGTTTTTAAAAGTGTTTTATTTCCTTGCATGGTCTGGTAATTTATTTTATATACATATATCACATATACATATATACCTAACAACTGAACCTTTAAAAAAAAATCGAGAGCCAAAAAAAGAACATTACGGGGTCACTAAATCAAACGCACTGCGTTACAGATATTGCCCAGGCGCAGTAAATCGAGTAGGCCTTTATTTGTAAACATGGAGCTCGTCCGCATGCTGGAGAGTTATCGAGGGAGGGACAAAATTATTCGTTTGTGTACCTATGCCGCCATGTGCGTGGGAGGCAGTGGGCAGGGGAATTTCCACAAGAAATTACTGACCATTTCCGCGGAATTAGGTGGTGCTAGAACCACCATGCGATTATTTGACGACCTTTCTATGTTGTTTTCTAACTTGAAGTACGGGACAGGTGCGCAGGTGGGACGATCTACTTATTGAACCATGTGTGATTTCTGATTGCTACTTTCGGTTTGCTTTATATATGATTAATACAAACTGATGCATTTGTGTATTATTCAGTTTTTACGAATATTGGATTTGTTGAGGGGGAAAATATAATTATTTGCAAGTGGGGAAATGGGGGAGGGTGGGGGGGGGGGAGTATTATAACTTTGAAATTTAAAAAAAGATAAAGTTTCATCACTAGGTAATTAGGGGCAGAATTAAATAGCCTACACATTTTCAATAACCCAGTCTGAAAGTAAAGGTATCAGGCGTTATGAAATTGTCAAGATATTTGTAAATATGTATAATCATTATAATTATAAATTAGATGAAAATATTTGCAAGGATACATGTATTTTCTGGTCTAACAATATTTTACAATAAAATTCAGGGTTCGACACTAACTTTTTTATGCATTAGTCCAGCCGGACTAATGACCTATAACTTTTATTAGTCTGCGGGTAATGTTATTAGTCCGCCAAAAATAGAGAAATAAATGATGAAATATTTATAATTTGTATAGTGTTTTTATTATAGTGATTCTTTGTCAAAGATTCCTGGAAATAACGGGAATAGCGAGTCCGTTCATACTCCCGATCTTTTTTCTCAATACTAACGTCTAACTTTCGCTTCTTAACATTGTCAGTATCCAGTTTAAAAAATTCTGAAATTTTCTGTTTCTCAATTGCGGCCTGCGTGTCAAACTACTAAATCATGATCACTGAAACAGTTACCATAATCTTTATCATTCAACTATGCAAATAAGCGTCTTTTTGATCAGGACTTTTGACCTCCCGCCATGCATAAAGAGCTAAAAATACATTTGGGGTTTTCCAGCAAAATGTCGCAAATCGAACATGGATAATTTTTCATACAAGCAGTAATTTTAATTAGTCCGATCGGACTGACTAGGCGCAGATTTTATTAGTCCGACATAAAATTCGTTAGTCTGAGACTAACGGACTAACGTTAGTGTCGAACCCTGTAAAATGGAATGATGGGCTTGTTCATCTTTGCTAGCCATGTGTCAGATTCATTTACCCTCATCTCCAAATGTCAAGGGAATCAAGATGAGGCTAAATGAATCAGACACCTGGCTAGCAAAGATGAAAGTTGTTTTGTGAGTATGGTTTTATTATTCACCATGTACATGATGAAAAAACATCTATTTAAATCAAAGTCACTGGGTGAAAAGTCCAGTTTCCACAAAACTGAAACTATACGGAAACTTTGCTGAAACTTGGCATTGAAGTTTCCCGTATGGTTTCTGCAATGCGGAAACTATATAATAGTTTCAGCAAGTTTCTATAGGGTTTCCGGTATACTGAAACTATTAGGTTTGTTTCCAAATAGTTTCGGCAAAACAGAAACCAATGTAAAATTTAATGAAATGTCAATTTAACGATACTTTTTAGTTTCAGTAGATTTCAGTTTCCAGAAACAATTGATTTCAATTCCATATGGTTTCCGCATGCTGAAACTAAACTGAAACTTTTTCTATTATTTTTTTTCAAAAGGGTAGAAAAATTAACTCATATGATCTTTTTACTATTGATTTCGATTCCATATGGTTTTCACATGCTGAAACCGAAGTAAAACTTTTTCTATTATTTATTTTCTTTCAAAAGGGTAGAAAAATCAACTCATATGATCTGTTTACTATTGAGACTAGTCTTCTTTTTCTGTAAATGTGTGTCACACTTTAAAGAGTTTAATCACAACCCTCTCTCTGAAATCTACCTTAAACATGTTCAAACTGAAGTTTATTTGTTAAAATTAAAAACATTTAAAAAATGATCATTACTCGTATACCTGTTATCAAAACTGGTACGATTCTCAAGAATGCAATTTTGATTTAAAATTCAAATTTTTACAGTATCATATGACAGAATGCATTTTAATTCAAAATGAAAGATATGGAGATAACAAACAGTTTTCAAGATCAGAAGTCCATAAAACAATATAAAATAGGAGCAGAGCAAAGTTGAAACATGGACCTCCAAAACATCATAGGTGGGATCAGGTGCCATGAAGGAATGAGCATCCCCTGCTGATCAGTCACATTCGCCATGTACTCCTTGTCATGATCGGGAAATCACGGAAAAATCTGTCATCAAATCAGTGTATAAATAATGGACAAACAATCAATCAGCATTTGACTATTTTGCTGACAAGGTCATTGTATCGACCATAGAAATTACAAAATGATGACTTTAAACGGGACTGCAGATATTCTTGTTTCATCAACTTGTCAAAAATTTACCTTTTTTAGAAATTATTCATACGTAGAGCATGTAATAACTCATTTTGTGATTTTTTTTTCAGGAAAAGAACCCCTTGGTTCGACTGATGAGTCTGGTCACAAACATAACGTACCAAATCTTCTTTCCTGTGGAGCACATCTATTGGCTGGCTGATAAAAAAGTACTCACTTCCTTCACACCATGGAAATGGGTTGTCGGCAGTATCGTGGCCTGGGCAGTAGCTCTGTTTGCAGACATGATCAAGTAATTTTCTTTTTAAGTGTACAATAATTAAGACATATTGCATGTATGTCAGAGCAAACACAGTTGATATAAAGAATTCAATTTTAGAGAGAAGCAAAAGTTTTGATCTCATCATCAAATTCTCTGATATTTTACAATATTATACATTTATTGACTTTGTTGGAGGGCAACATGCATTTTGTCCAACTCAAGAACCAAAATGTTTGCTTGAGGCCGTAAGGCCAAAGGCAGACAATTTGATTTTTAGGGTCAACAATGCACATTGTGCCCAAGACACAGTCAATAAATGTTTTGTTATACCCCGTCCTCTTATTTTAATTTTTTGGGACATAACATGCATGTTGTACTGTCTTCTATGATGTAACCTCAGGTCTGTCAGTGTTGAACACCAACGGATGCAAATGAAATTAAGCTCCGGACATTGTGTGTCGTAAGCAGTCCAGTATCTCATCAACAAGTCCAACATCTCACTCTGACAGAACTGGAAAGAACTAACATAGACTGTTGGCCTGCTGTTAAATCCATGTTCATTGTATACTTTTTTGTATATTATGAATAAAATACTTCTTAATCTTAAACCAAATCTCACTCTGACAGCAGTCAAACATAGGTGTTTTTGCCAGCTGACATTAAAACATTTGAAATATAAGACTTTTAATTATCAGTATAGAAATATATACTAGGAACAAATTTTTAAAATATAAAAATTATTGTTGTTATTGAGGTCAATACTATGAATAAGGAATACTTGTACCAAAGGAATCGGCATTAGTTTTAAAAAGTGCCAGTACTAGGTGTGAATTTGAGGATTTAAATTATCATGTTGACATAACAAAAATCCTCATAATTGTTTAACAATTTTAATGACTATAATATACAATAACCTTAGTCAATTTCTCATCATGTGAATTACCTCTTGTGTTTCCCTTTGAAGGCCTAATTGGAACCCCCTTACAATTACACCAAAAACATCTCTGCAAATTTATAGTCCTCAATAGGGGCCCAAAAAAACAGTTACAGTGAAAAAATTGTTACAAAATTAAAAAAAAAGATAACACTTTTCCTTATGCTACAGAATGGTTGCAAAAATAGTGTCTTTAAAGAAGGAACTCAGAGAACTTAGGAAACAAACATTGTTACAGTCCTCGGAAGAAAGGTGAGTTTATTGAAGGTATCTTGCGAAGGTAAATTTCGAAATTTTCCCTTTTTTATCACCACAGCTGAACTGTTAATAATTGGATAAAGTTTGTATAAGCCTTTGATTTGTCAAAGAAAAAAAAATACTCTGAATGAAACATTTTTTCTAAAAGAATTAAAATCATTTAATTTATGACAGAAGCAAGGAGCATGTAAATGTTACATAACATGTTTATTGCTAATCTTATATTACTTAATGTATATACAGAAAAGAATTTGCCCCTGTTTTATTTTTACCTTTTGGCCCTGATTAAAGTTGGGTGAAATAAAACAGGGAAAATTCAAAGAACATGTAGCCTTATTTCTCAAACAAAACTTTGACTTGGCAAATTTAAAAGGGGCAAAATTGTTGGCAAGTGCAGAAGATTGAAAATAACAAGGAGAGAAAATAACCCTGTATACAGTAATTAAAATTATTGTGATACATTTGGAGTAACATTAAACCATAATTATGTATAAATTACATTATTTTATAATCTTGTATTCATTTCATGTAGTGAAGATCAGGTGAGATCAGAAAGAAAGACAACTGTGGTTAGGGAGATTCAGGAGAGTTATCTAACCTTGATCCAAGACATGGCTGACTTCACAAATGCCATCAGCTGGCTACCTCCAGGGCTAGTCCTGTGGTCAGGAAAATTGTCACGCTTCCAGAATGGAATATTTGGAATGATTTCTTCTATCATTCTGCTTTACAAAGCTTGGCCAAGTAAGCAAAAAAGTTCCTAGTCAATTGTTCATGTAAATTGCCTTGTTGAATTATAAACAGTTTGTTTGGTGCTGAAAATCCATTTTAAGTTGTATTTTATGTACATATTAATTTGTAATTTATTGTATTCAAGTTAAAGATAATGTCCATAGCATGCATAAATTTATATGATTTTGGAATTCACCTAAGTGGAAGTTTGAAGTCTGAGCTCCTAATCAAAGTTGTCATTAATGTCGTATTAAAATTTTTACTGTTTCATTTTTTTCCTAAAGAATTACATGTACTAGATTAATTGCAACACAACTTGACATGGATTATTTATGTAAATGGAATTTAAGTATGTTAAAATGAATGGTCATGCCTCTTCTCAAGAACAATAGGAACAGTAAAGGAAAAAACTTAGCTGAATGCTTCCTGACATGGTGTAGGTTCTGGGTGTATTCATATTAGTGTGTTTTGCTATGTAAGACAGAGAGTATGTATATCATTCATATTTGGAGAGGGAGGGGGACTCTTACTACTAGTATTTCTTTCAGCCATGTTCACTTTATTAAATAAGAATTTTTATTTGCATATTTATGTTAAAACTTGAAAACAAATATGTCTTAAATTATATTGTAAACCATTACAGTTATCAAGCATTGATGCTTCTGATCTAATCTAGATACAAATTTAAAAACAAATTAGCCTTCTCATTAACCATAAGGGCTATAGATCACAGAGTACTAAACTGAAACTCTTGCTACTCAGTTGATAACTGTTGAAGTTGAAAATCCATGAGTTGCTACTTAGTTTTTGATGTATTATGTTGTTTTTAAAAATACATTTATGTGAGTGATTATTCAAGCATCCTTGATATTTTGCTTATTGTTCATGTGAGATTGTCTTGTATTTGTCTAAGCGAGAGACCTAATTAGAAAATTGTTGTTGTTGTACTTGCATGTATATAATAGATTTTTGTACTGAATTATAAATAAACGTGTATGTTCTGCTTCAACTCACTGTGATATTGAAGACCAATGAAAATCCTTGTTTTGTTATAACATAAATCGGATAATTATTTTAATGAATCCGTCATATTGTGATGAATGTAAATCATGCTCTGAAATAAGGATGATATGAAAATGTGTGTAATAGATTGTATTTTGTTATTGTCTTCAAATTGTTAAATTTTTACATTTAAATTTGAAAATAAATGCATAGAATAAACGTTTTTTCTTCATTGCTGATATCCTTTGTACTGTTCCAGAATTCTAAGTTCTACTGGTTATTGACCAAAAAAGCTTATGAGATGATAAGGTGTCCTGCGACAGTTTTAATCTGATTGCTTTCTTTGATACTACTTAGTTGAAATGTAGACTTCTTACAGCTAGATGAGTATTTTTTCTAAGTACATTGCACATTTTCCAGTAGTGTTGTCGAAATGCAGCGTCGAAAAATGACGAAATTGCTGAAAGAAATCATGTCAAAGGATAAGACAATAAAAAACTGTTTATCTTTCAACGTGATAAATTGATACTATTGAAAAGAACATTCTTTTACATTTTATGGTCTGAAACTTTGAAATTTTGCGTTGGCAGGTATCTTTCATGATGCTAGATTTCAGAAAATTTACCTGAAAAAATGCCATCTTTTTAACATGAAATGCAGTTGAACAGACGAGAAATACTTCTATCATCCTGCGCATAGAAAATACAGAAGTTCCATGAACTGCACTGTTTCTGTATTCAGGCAATGCTAAGGTATGCTTTAAAACGACGGATAGAAAGGCGGCTGCATTTGAAGAAAAACCATGAAAAAACCATTTGGTAAATGTCATAATGTATCATACAAAAGCATATAAAAATCCTGTGTGAATTATGTTAATGGAGTCGCAAAATAACGTTATAAATCACTTTTAAACGATTTTAGTTACCACGTTACACATTTGTTTTTAGTTATAACAATGTGATCTTGATTTCTGCGAAAAACCACGTGAATTTAAAAATTCTTGGGAGCTGTACATGTATTTTTCCTAACAGCCTGGGAGTGGAATATTAAGGGGTCTGTCCACCGGTATACATCATCGTCTTATCCGTGCATTTAAATTTATTATAAAAGATAAGTGTATTTTCATTTAATTAACTTAAAGGCTTCATCAATGATCAATATGTCCAAAAAGGTATTTTTTCAATAGCTCCAAAACTATGTGGTTTATAATGTTAAAACTTTTACGGTTTATAAATATATCGTTGATTAAGTTCAAGATCTAGTAAATAAGATGTGCCTACAGATATATCAAGTTAAGAAATAGATTTCTTTAATGGTGCTTTATAAGTATAGCTTGGCCAAATAAGGTGTTTCGAGACATAATTTGTAGGGAAACAAGAGGAAAAATCAAATTTGAAACTGTCATTTTTAATGAAAAATTAAGAAAACAAGTCATGAATTTGAGAGTTTTTTTTCAATATCAGACAAAGAAAATGTATTCAGATTGCCTACAGTCTTTCAGAAAACGGTAAATTGTATGTTCTTGGCTTCTTCTTAAAAATAATCTCAAATTTAATACAGGTATCGGGACTACTTTTCATGTTATTTCAAATCGAATTCCATGAAAATACTTCATTTCTACATAATTCTATAACGAGCCTTGCAGAATTAATGTATGTTAACATATATCTACGAAGGGCAAGTTGGACTTCAAAAGTCTCTGGAAATTAAGTTGTTTTCAATGCTTATTTTTTCGAAGTGTTAAGATTTGATTTCAAAAGTTGCATTACAAATGGCGAATTTTTAAGGGGTCTTGTTTTTATACATGCCATGCTTTTAATAACAGCCTTTTAGAGACCATTCCGTTCAATTTGCTTATTTCATTGATAAACACAATTTTTCTGCAATGATGGTTTTCACTAAAAGTACAGAGTTAAGCAGGTGTATTTTTTTTGATAATTTTTTTCTCGAGTAGCATACTTTTTTAAAAGAATAAATGTTTTTAAGCGATACTTTCTATCATCTGAACAAGGATATAGCTATAAACTGTAAAATTTTCAACTTTATTAACCACATTGTTTTGGACCTATTTAAAGAATCACTGTCTAGTTAGTATATTATGTCAGGGCATCAACGATAGTGGGAAACATGGAATAATTTGCATAACGGGCGAAGCATAAATTCTCCCATGTTTCCTTCTATCGTTGATGTCCCTGACATACTATACTAACTAGACAGTGATTCCTAGTATTTCCATTTCATTGTGAAATAAAATTGTAGATTTAGACTTTAAAAATGTAGATATAGATTTAAATTACACGAGGACTCCACTGCCAATTTCAATAGTCCTCGCCCACTGACGTCAAACACAAAGGCAGCCGCCCGAGATTTACATGCATATTTGGCCCCTCCTTAGAGTCAGACACAGAGACAGATGCGCACGAGATTTGCATGCATTTTAGGCCTCCTTAGCTCCTGACCTATCGACCTGCCTAATTTACATTCCGGTTGAACTATCAAAAAATCAACTCTGTTTACTTTCAAAGATTTATCACAAAGAACAACATTAGAAATGGATATATTGTAAAAATAATTTTTTTGACATCTGGACATTTGATAAAACCTTCACTGAAGACAGCCAAACAAAAAAAATGAGATAAAAGAACACTAGTTATATTAAACAGAGGGTCTTAATTTTGTAAGTGTCATCAGAAATACTTTTTTTTTATTTTTTGAAGGCTTCAGACGATTCTATCTGTAGGCTTATCATATTGCTCTTAGCAAATGATGACAATTAATGATTCTGCATGTAATCACAAAGTATGAGCATGTTATGTTAAGATATCAGAGTATAATGACAAAGCATCGGCTTATTATATGTTAAGATATCAGCATATATATGTCAAAGTACAGCAAATACACTGTAATGTCAAAGTATCAGCACACCATGTTCAAGTATCAGCTTATTATGTCAAATTATCAGCATATAATGGCATGGTATCAAATTTATTTAAGCCATTAAATTTAGCCACAATCCCCGAATGTGAAAGGATTAATCTTTCAATAACAACATACAATAACACACAATATTTTTTTAACTTGTTTGTTGTTTTTTTTAAATCAATAATACGTTTTTGATTAATTTTAGATTTCCCAACCTACGAAAATTGATTGAGCAGCTGCATTTGAAATTAGGGACGTGCTCGGTTTAATTGCACTTGTTTTAACATACACAGTGTCATGCTCATTAAGCTGCACAACTATAGTTGCAGAAATGACTTCATACTGTGTTGTTTCATCTTCTCCAACGGTTATAAGTTCATCACTATTTTTCATTATTCGAAGGTATCCACAGCTATGACGTGGCACTGTATATGAAATGGAGAAACCAAATGTACCGGAATGGTAAGCAGTAAAAATCCCGGTATGAGGACTGTAGAAGTCTCCCACATTGGTAATAACACGTTGGAACTTCACTAATTGACCGGGAGGAACAATTAGGTCCGATTGAAGCATGGCATAAAAAGCTGGTTTCATGGGGACATTTCCTAGAAAAAGTATAAGACGAGTTTAATAGCAGGATTCTGGATGTTATTATAGTACAATTCTCTGTCATCCTTGGACTATTCTCGAAGCTACATAATTAGCGTTTCTCATATTCTCATAAGTTAAGAAATTGATAACATCTATAATATAGCAATTTAAAAAGTTTTATTGACAACTATCATGACTATGAAATAACTTAAGCTTAACGTCTTTGCCCTACGAACCGCTATCATTGGATACTTGCTACACTCGTTGACATTCGCCCAAATTTCTACCCAAGGTATCTTTAAACAATGAATGAAATTCAGTGTAAATTCCAGACGCTAATTATGCAACGTCGCCCTATGACTCTGAGAAAGAGTAATCAAGCTTGATAGAAATGCATTGGGGACTTATAAAGCGAAGCAAAGATCATAAGTGTTTCAGAACTACTCTCGAGACTCCATCCACTCTGAAGCCCTTTATACACTCTTGAAGTGCAAAATTGAGAACGAATGTAGGATTAGCTATTTTATAATTAAGTTACAGTTATGGTGACTGGTAGGAGTTTGTCTAATTAGTCTACAAATTTACAGATTTTGCCCTAACTCAATCATATGTAGGAGCACAAGTCGGATGTGTTCGTTTGACATACAGGGGATGCTTTCTTTCTCCCCTCTAGCTGCTGATCCTTTCTCTTAAAAAGGGGCCCAAGTTTGTTCTGCCCCCTATTTCTAATAATGTTTTTAATAAACATTAGAGTTTAATACCTGTTCATAGCTATATATTTTATTTGAAATGTTGAACTCATCGTTACTGACAAAATTAATTTATTTACATTTTCTATTTTCCGGTCTAGCTATGTTTCGTCTTCTAAGGAAAAGATACTCACCCTGTATTAAAAGTCTTGTTTGTCTCGAAAGTCCCCCGTTTCTTTTCACAGTGTTTATTATTTTTTCATTCTTTGTAAATCTCTTTTGACTTAAGATTTTTCTTTGACTTTTTTCTTCATTTTCGATTGTTTGAAAAATATCTTTAAAATTCAAATTGTTTTTGGTATGTCCGATATTGTCTAGGTCTAGACATTCACGCGAACACTGACTCACAGTGGATTCAAGACTTTGTATTTTTTCGGCATAAGCATCATTTTGCTTTTTAAGTTCTAGGACAACATACTTCAAATTCTTCATGTCATCTTGGAGGCTGCGAACGGTTTCGGTGAGTTCTTTATACTCTTTAGTTTGTCCTACACATTCATGTATAAGTGGCAGAAATAGGAAGAAACACGGAAACACTGCAGATAGGGTTTTGGATAATGCCATGTTTATCATTCAGCGACCTGAATGGCAAAGACGCTTGTTCGATTGACATTAATAAATATATGAATGATAAGAATGCACTTCGTGATTCCTCTGAAAGGCAGAGAACATTTGGTTCTCTTATCTTAGTTATAGACTAATATAGGTATAACGCCTGTCTTTTTTTATGCCCACCTTCTTAAGATTTTTAAAACCAAGTATAACTTCCCTTCTTCTTTTTGCGCTTTGACACGGCTCTTACTTATATACTGTATGAAACATATGAAGATAACGAACAGTCCATAAAACAATACAGAATAGGAGCAGAGCAAACACGCCCCCCGTAAACATCAGAGAAGGAATCAGGTGCCATGGAGGAGTGAGAATCCCCTGCTGGCCGGTCACAACAGTTGTGTACTCCTTGTCATGATAGGGAAATAACGTAAAAATCCATCGTCAATTCAATGTATAAATACTGGATTAACAATTGGTATGAAAAACGTCAGTCAGCACTCATTGATAGCTGTATTTGCTGACAAGGTCATTGTATCGACCATAGACCTTACGAAATGATGACTTTACACGTGTCTGCTGATACTCGTGTTTCATCAACTTGTTTGTCAATAATTTACCTCGTTTCAGATATTGCATTGTTCATACGTAGAGCATGCTCCTGTGTGTCGAATCAACTGAGATACACAAACTCTGTATGCAGGTGATGAAGGTATATTGCTGCATAAGTAAGAGAAGTTGACGATAGAAATGTTAAAGTCATCACGTTTATCATAGATCTTGGTTGTTAGATTACCATTAACGTCTTTTTCAAGTACAATATACAAATATGAAACAGATGTGTCAGACTCCATGGTATCTTTTATCTCAAGCTGACCAGGATATATCATATCGAAATCTGTATGGAAATAACCATTGTAACTAATCGATTATATGCTGACCTATATATTCCAGAATTTTGACTCAAAAAAGAGACACAACACTAGAAATGATCTCGTTGCGAGCAACGAGAGGTCTTCCGTCCGATCCGAAAAATAACCCTAAAATCGAGCTGAAAATCTATTAAACATTTTTTGGACACATTGGTAGTTGAAACAGGTCACCAGCGTGAAAATCCAATACGCTTATCGATTACGTTATTTGAACAACTACTCTTACTTCACTTGTATGTACATATAATTCTGCAACAGTTAATCTGTCTTGTAATTATGAAAGGAGGGTCATTGTTCATAATTTCGCGCCAAACGCCACGAGTAAAACTTAGCGCCTTTCCCTTGGAATGTTCTATTAAATAGGTGAGATAGCTTCAACCAAACCAAATAACAAAAATTTCGAGGAATAGAAAGTTTATTTAACATACATGTAACATATCGTATATAGGCAAATAACACTAAAGCAATGAAACAGCTATGAATGGTTATTTTTTTTTTTAATTTTCCTGTTAATCACGAAAGTGGACTATTCCGATTACCTACACTTTCATGATAAAGGTTGTGTGTTTCACCGAAAAAATGCCCCGATCTCCCTACGAGGGTCAAGGAATAAGATTCCATTATGCTCAATAACTTGCATTGAGAAAAAAAAATGTTTATATAAAAAGTCAATTTAACGGTCTTTTAAAAATAGTTGTCTTATAAAAAAAAATTCTTATTGTAACAGTTGTCTTTTCTATTAATTTAATATGACGCAAGTGTACATGGGAAAACAATGGTCACTTTTCATACTTACTATATATATTGTTTCCTGAAAAACTATTACTTATAACCACAATTTAAGCTATGTGGTTCCGTGATGCAAAACATAAGATAGTAGGTATTGTACTTCAATTGCACATTAATTCTTTTCTATTTCTACTTTGAGAAACAACTAAAACCAGTTAAAGAAGACGTGTAAGGAGGCCTTAGATTATAAATGTAGTTTGACACAGAATTGCAACGTACCTTCGGACAATCCAAGTATTCCTTCACATTTCATTGCTCCTTATGTTACTTTCGTTCAAGCAAACGCTCGGCTGCCTCTGTAAACCCCTATTGCGAAATGTCCGAGTTGACAGAGACCGCCGCCATTTTGGTCCCGCTTCAAATTTTTGATTGTTAATATCTCGAGTTTGGATTTATCAATTTAAAAACAAATTATATATTCAGGCTAATTAAAAAGGTTTCTATAAACCATTCCAATATAATTCAAAAATATTGAAAAAAAAGAGTTAGAAAATTCAACTTTTTAAATTCGCCTGCCGTAACGACAGGAAGTAGAGACGACGTACAAAAGATCGTGTCTTGGAAAGTACTTATCACGATCTATAATCCCTGAAAGTTTCACAGTGATGTCTTTTACCGTTCTTGATATTAACCGCGGACAAAATGTCATTTTAAAATCAGAAAATTGTCCATAACTTGGCACCAGAAAGGAATTTCTAAAAAATCTCTCGGATAAAATAACTTCAGATAACAACACATTGTTCCTGCAAATTTCATGAAAATCCATCCAGTAGTCTTCGAGAAATCGCGTGCACAAAATTAGATGGTCAGAAAAATATTAATAATAACTAGATACGATCTCGTTGCGAGCAACGAGAGGTCTTCCGTCCAATTCAGGAAAAGAAACCCACGTAAAATCGAGCTGAAAAGAGATTCAAAATTTTGGTCACAAAGAGGATTGAACCCATGTCGCCAACGTGAATGCGCTTTTTTTTTTACTTTTTTATCCCCTACACGCTAACCATTAAGCTACTGGGAGTACTGCTCTAAATATACTTGTGTATACTTTTGCAACAGTTCACCTGTCTATGAATTATAAAAAGCATTCATAATTTCGCGCCAAACGCCACGAGTAAATATTCGCGCCTTTTCTTTGGACTGATCTATTAAATAGATATGATAGCTTCGATTAAATTTAAAAAAATAAAACATTCTTATCGCCTTTATTTTATTTCGACGTTAAGAAAGTATATGTAACACATTATACACATTACATATCGTATCTAGCCCCGTTACACTAAAGCAGTGAAACGGAAATTAAGTTTTAAGATTGACACTCAATTGCAACGTACTACTACGTGAGAGTCGAAGTAGTTTTTTACATTTCGTGTTTCCTTATGTCAGAATCGTTTAATCAAACGCTCAGCTGCCTCCATAAACCCCTACTCGCGAAATGGCGGAGTCTACGGAGACAGCCGCCATTTTGGACCCGCTTCAGATTTTTGAATGTTAATATCTAGACTTGGGATTTGTCAATATTCAAACAGATTATATAGTAACCATCATTGGAAAGGTCTCTATTACCAATGCTAAAAATACTTCAAAAATATTGAAAAATAAGAGTTAGAAAGATCAACTTTTTAAATTCGCATCTGGTAACAACAGGAAGTCCTGACGACAAACGAAAAGTTGCGTCCTGGATAGTAATTACGACGATCTATCATCCCTGAAAGTTTTATTTTGATATCTTTTACCGTTCTTGAGACAATCCGTGGACAAAATGTCATTTTAAAATCAGGACATGTCCCGTAACTTGGCACCGGAAGCGAATCTTCAAAAAATCTCTTGGATAAAATAACTTCAGATAATAACACATTGTTTCCGTAAATTTCATAAAAATCCATCCAGTAGTCTTCGAGAAATCGCGTGCACAAAATTTAGTGTACGGAAAAATAATAATAATAATAATAATAAGAAGAAACAGTAGTATCACTATAAGGTCTTCCGTGAAGACGGAAGACCTTAATTATGCCGATGAAGGGTTTAAATTTCAGACCTATACTTTGGACTCAGGGCAATTGAGTTGTAAAAGTCCCTAATTGTCCTACCGTCTACCATGACGCGGTGCGGAGAACAAAAATTGAACCCAGTTTTCTTGTTAATGACACGGTCGCACTCATAAACGAAATAAGATATGATGACTGGACATATCAAAGAAAAGGTAGTCTAGTGTCAAAATCACGTATTCATGCCATAATATTTCTTAACCGAAAATTGTTTGGCCAAAAAGCATCGGGTTTAAGGTCAGTCTTTAAATGCCGGTAATATGTCAAGTGAACATTGTGTAAAATCGTGTCAGGGAAATTCTGAGGTAAGCGGGAATTTTTTAAGATAAATTTCTAAGAGGTACAGAAAATCGTGACATCAACTGGAATCGATGCCACATGGTTTCTAATTTTTCAATATGGTCTGTCTTGACTCTCCCATACACATGTCACGAAGCAAGGGAACCTCAGACTATTTGAATTCATATAGTCCTGGCCCAGGGCTATGGAGAATTTTACTTTTCATGCTCAAAAAAATGCTCACCATTTCTTTCATATCGCATATATATTCATTGGAAAATAAGATAGAGCGAAAATAACCCTGTTTACAGTATTTATGTGCTGAAAATGTGAAAAACTATAAATGATATACGAAAAAGAGGACAACGAAGACCTGACCCTATTTTTTTAAAACAGAATTTAGATTACTTTTGTAAAATTGATTGGTTGTATGAAGGACATGGGGATAACGAACAGTATTCAATATCAAAGTCCATAAAACAATACAAAACAGGAGCAGAGCAAACACGGAACTCTAAAACATCAGAGATTAGGGTCAGGTACCATGGAGGAGTGAGCATCCCCTGCCGACCCGTCACACCCGCCGTATGCTCCTTTTCATGATCGGGAAATAACAAAAAAATCCATCGTCTATTCAGTTATAAATAATGGAATAACAATTGGCATGAAAAACGTCTTTCTGCATTTGACTCAACGATAAATTGTATTCGCTGACAAGGCCATTGTATCGACCAAAGAACTTACGAAATTATGACTTTCCAGATCGATGTTTGACGTACTTTATGTATGTATGTTGTTTCACGACCCTTTCGAGAATTTTTCACTCATATGGAGGCGCCAACACTTGCCGATGAAGAGCTGTAAATGTTGTCCTATACTCGGTACTCAGGGCCATTGAGCAATAAGTGATCTCTATCGTGGCTACAACTGCTGTGACACGGGGCCTCGATTTTCAAGGTCTCATCCG